CTGTTGGATGTTGTTTTGTTTTTACTGTTTGATGGGACTTCAGATGTAAATTAGCCTTAGGTTTTAATTGCACACTGTCCCGAATAAATAAATAAATACATCATTCATTCATTCAATTTGTAGAAAGTGCTGAGATATTTATTGAGATCACAATGTTGTTAGAAAAATATAAAAACATATTGTTTTATGTCCGTGTTGTGCAGTCAGTTACGTGAAGTTTTAGTGTGGCCTCTTACGTTCTTGTATATTTGTTGGCCGACAGGATGAGGTGCAGCCTCTGCAGAGAGTCCAGAGTCTCGTGGCCGAGCTCCTTCACCTGAAGCAGCTTCACAAGTCTGCTGTAAAACTTCTGCAGCTCGGGCTCCTGAATCTCCCTGGAAATTACACAATATGTGCAGAAGATTTCAGCTCTTTGGAAACACACTAAACCTATTTATAGCCCTTAATTATTATTATTATTATTATTTAATTTTTTGTTAAAACACTTTGTTATATTGTTTTGGTCATTTGTCAGTACACAACACACCTATTCAACTAATGTTGTTTCTCCTCTGTCTAATATTACAAATAAAAAAAAATCAAATCAAATTAAGAAATCCAGTGAATAACATATAGTCCAGTGAAAATAATTAAGACACCCTATGAAAGTTTGTGCAGGTGTTTTTGAAAACATTTTTAGACATTAATTGTAATTTTTAACAATACAGAAAAATTCAGGCAATGTCACTTTAGAAACAAGCTTTAAAAAACTTTCTGGTAAATGTAGTTTTAAACAGGTGGTGACATTTGCTTTATTTTGGGACAGGATGTCTCAAATTTTTCTTCATTTAGAATATGCATTTGTGTAATATTTATCATTTTATAGATATAATATTAAAACAGAAAAACGATGTGAATTGTTGTTTATCTGTAATTAAATTACTTTCTTTTCCAGATATAACAAAACAAGGTTAGATTAGAATTTGTAATTAAAGACCAATAACTTCTTCTAATTTGTCACGACTGTAGCATGTCGTGTCGAGAAAGTTACAGGTGAAGCAACTTTTGTTATCAAAAGATGTAATTCAACATAAGTGAATGTTTGCTCAAGATTACCTTTTCTATCGAATCATATAAACACTTTGTTTTAGCTGCTTTCACTGTGTTCTTAAGTATTTCTACCCAACATTCTTGAGAAATGAATACATATACAACATATAGATAGTGTGTGGATTGGTTCAAATAATTAGAGTTAAAATAGGGATAACAGACCAACAAAATGTAACAGTAAAAAGTAGTTGATAAGCTAACTTTAACCGCGTTATTTACACGAGCGAAACGTTCAGTATTAAATAATTGAAGTACTACATTTACGTGTTCTTACCTTGCTTGTTTAATTAGACTTTCTGAACCGTGAGAGTACATTTTTGACAGCAAACCGGGCTGTTTTATGTTTTGCCGTCAGCAGCGGAAAGTAAACAGTACGCGCCTTAAACAGGTCCTGACGGAAATCACATGACAAGACTTAGTTCCGCTTTCGGTGTTCAACACAAGTCAATTTTGTTACAAAAAAAAAAAAAAAAAAGAACATATGTGGAACAACATTTACAAAGTTAAAAAGATTATTTACTTCATGCCCGACAACAAGACTGGGAACAGTTTGTAAATCACGTATCTTTGATTCTATGCAAAACAAACCATAAGCTGTGTTTCCTTCTCTATAAACATCTGGTCCGTTTCCCCCKCTTCACTGAAGTCAACCATGGTAGACCATTTCCCATCATTGCAGATATTTAGACACAAGACATGCATTTGGTTGCCACTCACTTAGTGGAGGTTTTCTTACATAAACTGCTTCACAGTTTATGCTCAATCATAAAGGGCCACTTGAAGTTTTCAAAAATAAAACTGTTTAGGTAGCCTATCTTCAGGTGAAGATTTAGATTCAAAAATGTTTGCAAAGTTTTCAAATATTCATTAGGCTAAAAGATCTGTGTGGGGTTTTCATGAAGACTCCCTAATAGATTGATCAATGTTTGCATTAATGATTCAATCAATTATTACAGAAAAAAACGTGTCAGTTTTGACAGGTGAAGGTACCTGCTGAGGAAGTTCAATTAGACCCTTTTATTATGATAAAATATAACAATTAAACCTCTAATTACAACAATAAAACATATATTGTTTTTTTTTTGTAGAGAATGTTAATTTAAAAGCTTTTAAGCATTTTTAAAAGTCCTTTTTACTTTCAGAAATTGAGAGAAATGTCAAAAATTAAAAAATTGTAGAAATGAATACAATTATTAGGAAAGATAATTTGGCCATATAAAAAGTTGTATTTGCTTTTTCTCAGGCTATTTCACTATTTCACTGTTTTAAGATTTCCTATTTTAAGAAATAAACATCACATCATTTGCCACAAGATCTGTAAATAACAAATGTTAATGTATTGATTATAGGCTAGAATTAAAGAAATATAATAACACAGAAAACTTAAGTGAGAAAAATCATTTTATGTTAAAAGGTCATCAAAGGTGCTTTACAGGTGTTGCTCTATTCCTTTTTTGGTCATGTTAAAATCAGTTAAATAATCATTAGTTTAGGCATGATGACTTATTACATGAATCAATCATCACTTCCTGTATCTCATCATATAATCATCATATAGTTATTACCTCATAGTTCATCAAATGAATATTCTGGTTTTGTTATCTAACAAAATTAACT